TGGCCTTTATGCAACCCCTTTTGGATATGCTTGAAATTAATCTATGGGGCTAATGACTAAAGGGTAATGTGACATTGATTCAGGTTTACGGGGTGATAAGGTACTTAAATCTCATCCCTTCATCCTAGTGGTTGGATGGGGATGAGTGGCTAGGATAATTAGTCTCTCATGTGCCATTGATAAAGTGCATCAAGGGTCATGATCCATCCTATACTTAAACACTTTTATAAATACAACCATAAGTCCAATTAAACCCTAACTTTAAGAAACACCTTTCATTAACTAAAAAGAAAGACGAGAGATCTACCCCCTTGGCCTCCACGCACCACCCATGTTCATCATTATTCTTAGTTTCCTTGATCATCATAAGATCTTTAATGGTGCTCCCCTCTTTGATAAAGTCAAGTCCATCATGTGCAATCACTAAAGTATCATTTATTTGAGTTTTTCTACTTCATAGGTTCTCTTCCCCATGATCAAAGCTTGTTGTAAATCCACATTTAGAAAAGCTCTAACTTTCTTTTGTCATTAGTTTCATATGATCTTCATGCTAGATTCATATAATATAATCCCTCACTTTGATAGTGTGTTATATGCCTTGATTGCCATGAATCAAGTCTAGCATCTTTTAGATCCTTTTCACCCAAAATTTTTTGAGCATGTCATATTATTGATTGTCATTTTTCAGAGCAGTATCATCCATTTTAAAAGATCATTTATTGATTTAGAGTTCACCTTTTAACATTTGGGAAAAGTATTGGTAGATGGATGGACCTCCATGTGTAGAATGCTCATATTTGCCTCATCTTGAACCCGATCTCTTTCATTCTTTTTGCAAACCGATTTCCATCATATTGATCACATTAATTGGACCTAATGAAGTGCTTCTAAAAGAGTATTAATCTTCCCACTTGGATAGATCAACCACTCTTGCACTCATTTTTGGCACAAAATTAAGTCCTCAAAAGGTCCGGTTGTGACCCAGGTACAAGGGTTCGAATCCATTGGCTTCCCCACTTAAAATTGGACTCACTGTTTCAAGTCTAAAAAGGTTCTGAAATTTTTGTTTCAAGTGTTTATGTTATGTTATTTGGTTATATAAGAGCCTAAGCTCATTTGTTGTCAAAATGTCATGCTTTATGACAGTTTTGATTTGTGGGCAAAGATATGTATTGTGCCCCATAAGGGGACTATTATAGAGTCATTTGCAAGTGGCACTGAAGTCTTAATGTGTTCTCACATTGTTTTAACTGGCTGTAATTAAATAGTTGCTTGTTTAAGCAAGACCGGATATTGAAATTTCGAGTTGTATTGTCTTTTCGATTTTGCTCAGAGAACACCCTAGACTCTATACCACATCATTTACTTCCTTTAAAACCTGCATCATTTGAAAACATTTCCTTTGGGGGATAACATAAAATGTCTTTCATCATAAACAACATGCCTAGAAATTAATATCCTTTTCAATCTAGGACTATAACATCTATATCCTTTATACTCATCAGCACAATCAACAAATATGCACAATTCAGCCTTAGGGAAGAGCGTATTTCTTTGGCTACTATCTATATGCACATATGTATAGCATCCACATATAATAATCTGGATGTTTGCCAAAAAGTACTCTATAGGAGCGGATCCCATAGCACTTGATGGAAGCCTATTAATGAGGCATACAGTTGTGTGGAATGCCTCGATCCATAAGTACTTGGGCATACTACTAGAAACATAAGAGATGATGCTACCTTATTAATATGCCGATTCTTTCTCTTAGCAACTCCATTTTGGGCTGGAGTGTGTGGATAAGAGATCTGTTGTTCTATCCCATGATCATTTAAAAAGTTTTTTAAAGCATAGGACAAGTACTCTCCCCCCCTATCATTAAGAGAAAATAAATTGGTTTTCGGTAATGTTTTTTAACAAATGACTTGAACTACATGAGAACCCTGAACACTCAAATTTGTTTTTGAAAAAAAAAACCCCATGTATAACATAAGCTATTCATGAATGAGTGTAACATAATGATAAGCATGAGAAGAAAAACAAACCGGTGCACGAACCCACACATCAAAATGAATTAACTTAAACCGCGAAAGAGAAATGGGACGTTCCGAACTGTTGCCCAACTGACACCCATAACAGATAAATCGACTGGGTTCTTTGACATTTTAGGGTCTACAAAGTTAATTGAATGCCCCTTTACTGCAATGACCCAGACAATGATGACATAATCGACATCTTTATTAACATTTAGACTGGAGACCAGCAGCATCAGATGCTTCTTCGCAAGGCAATCTATCAAATATAACTATCCACAACGAGTTCCCCTAGCGAATGTAATTCCCCATTATCGTTCCTTCGAGAAAACAAAATCGAGAGCAAATAGAAATTAAATCCCATTATCACACATTAGTTGGGAAACAGAAATTAGATTATATCTATGATTTGGTACAAGGAAAATATTACTCGAGTGAATAGGACCAAAAGAAGACTCAATTGCGACAGTACCTAAATGCGATGTCAGGGGAAACCCATCACCCCAATTATAATAAAACCATTACCAGTCAAATGATCAACAGAAGAAAACATATGAGAATCTCCAGATACATGGATGGCAGCCCCACTATCCACAATCCATACTCCATTAGTAGGGAAAGTAATTGCAAAAGATTCCACAAAATTATTTAAGGTTGCAGCTGTACTCTCAGTGCTTGCCAAGGCAATAATTTGATTTCCTCCTTCATTTATTTCGTTGTATTCTTGTATATGTCAAAACTGTTACGGACTGAATGTCCTCCTTTTCCACATATTTGATAGATGACTCTATTTCTATTTCCATAAGGAGGAAAGAGATCTTGACTGGCACCATAGAAGTTTCTTCCAACCACACCCATTTGTGCCATCTCGACCCCCAAGACCTCTGTTATTTCACCGAAAATTATTGGAGTTCCTTGCAACATTGCTTATGTTGGTAACAAGAACATCATGGTTCTCCTTACTGGGAGACGGGTTTTGTGCCTCTGTCCGAAAGAACAATTCCTCATGCTGTAGTAACATCTAAGGTTGACAAAGGAAGGAAGATAATCCCTAGTCATCAAGGAAGTGACAAAAATTCTATAGTCTTCACCCAACCCTCGTAATTTGTATTGCAACTTGTGTTTATCTTCAACAGGCTGTTAAGTAATTGTGAGTCGATCACATATTCCCTTTATCTTGTTATAAAATTCAGATGCTGACGTCTTCCTACAATCTTAAGTTCAAATTTTAATCCCATTGAGGGTTGTCCAAGGATTATATGTTATAGGTAGGTTCACTACTTGAGCCACAATTTCTTCAAATAAGATTGAATTAATCCAGCCGACAAGATTTTAATCTATAGCAAGCCATTCTTCATTGGCTGGACTGACTACTGTAGTGGTCTCTTTCTTTCCATCTGAATCTGTGCTTTCTTGAACAATGTATTCTGGTGGTGGCCGACTGGATCCATCCAAATGGCCATTAGAGACGTTGACCTCTGATGAAGGGAACAACAATTCCTTCCCAGACAATAAAATTATCAGATTTAAGTTTGACGAAGACATATTGAGGACATGGGAATTAAAACTTGATGATTGTGCCATGCTGAGGAAAATGGGCTCGAAATATAATCGCAACAGATCTGGAAAAAAGAGAATTTGAGGAGGTCTAGAGAAAATAAGAAAATCTAGAGATAAACTAAAAAGAATATAAAAGGAGGTTGGTGTGGACAGCAAGAAAGAGAAAAGCAGTGAAGGTTTTGAATTAGATTTCAAGAACCAAAAAGGAGAATAGCAGGATCAGTATTATAAATTTCAAACAAGATCTAGAATTTTATATTGAATGAAGAGAGAATCAGGAGTTTTGTGGTTGAAATATGAGGTTTTGAAGGAAAGAACAGTAGAATGAATAGTAATTCAAACAGTTATATGAATAGTGAGGCGAACAATAGCATAAACGGTTGAGGAAATATGAAATAGAAAGATTAGAGTTTAGGAAGGATGAGAATGATGAAAGAGGGTAAAGATGAAATAATTATTAGGGTTTAGGAGAAGAAGAGATAATGAATCTATAAAAAGAAAGAAATATAGATTACCTTGATTAGAGTTGATCATACTGAGAGCATATTCAAAGCTGCTCTAATACCATGTTAACTTATGTTGACAGGATCTTGCACCTGGAACACAAACAAGAGGAAGACAAAAGGTAGAAGACAAAAGGCACGTTGGTCTTTGGTGTGAACAACACTGGGTTGTTCTGTCATGCCCATGATAATGAATCATCATCATCATCATTATCAGAGGCTTTTCCCTACTATTTGTGGCAGCTATACGAATCTTGGTCTGCCATTCTGCTCTATAAAGGGCCATACCCTCAGCGAAGCCATATGTCCCTACATCTTTTCTCAGTACTTCTATCCATGTCCTCTTGGGCCCACCCCTTGCCTTTTTTTAGTATTTCACTTGAACCAACTCGCACCTCCTAACAGGTGTTGTACTGGGTCTGGGCTGCACATAACCAGCCCACCTAAGTCTGTTTTTTCTCATCTTATCGCCTAATGGAGCCACTCCTAAGCTCTCCCAAATGTATTAATTTCGAATTCTATCTCTTCTTGTCTTACCACTCATCCATCTTAACATCATCATCTCAGCTACACTCATCTTATTGATATGTTTCTTGACTGCCCAACATTTCGCCCCATTAAGTAAAGTTGGTTTCACAGCTGTCCTATAAAAACTCCTTTTAGCTTCATTGGTATGCTGAGGATAATGAATCCTTGTGTTAAATGAATAGTGTTATATCAGGGCAACAACTTTACAAAAATTTCCTTATACAAATACTTATTTTCAAACACATGCAAATTTAAGGAATATACATGAAACAAGTCTTCGAGCATTTTCCTCCCTCCCTCCCTCCCTCTCTCTGCAGATTTGTACAAACCCCTTTAATATTATATGTATAATAATGAGATCAAGATGTCTTACTTGACACTTCCCCTGAAATTTGAAAAGATTATCACTCTTGAGCTCTTTGGATCGTTTGATTCTGCATTCACAAAAATCACATTGAACACAATAGAACCATTAATAGAGCAAGAAGAACAAAACATAAAATGTGTTGTTTCAATAAATAAAACACCATAAACATTATGAAAATAAGTCTAATGACCAAATAATATGGATCATTAGTTAAAGAACAATTGATATAAAACAGCGTGTCAAAATCAAAAGAACAATTGATATAAAACAGTGTGTCAAAATCAATTAATGCATGGATCCAAAAGAAACACAAGTAGAAGAGGAAATAATGACACTGTAATGACTAGAGAAGTAACTAATTAATTTAACAGATTCCCGAGAAACATCTTTTGCAGACAAGTAAACATAAAATCGGCAGTGTCCCCCCACTTCGACCCCTTTCTTTGTAGTTCACAATGATCCCTTATTTGTATGCTAAAATTGTTTCAGAATCACAGATGATATAAATTCCAAATAGCAAATAATCGACAAGTAGAAAGATGAATGATCATAGCACTAAGTTACAAAAATCATATAAAGTACCCTTATGTGCCCCTAAATGGGGAACAAGAAAAATCAGGGAAAATGTATAAATAAGAAATAACTGCTTTCACATAGCTATAGCTCTCAGCCCCATGTGAACAGGCCATTTATCAACAAACAAGTCCATTAAGCCTGCTTAGGAGTTTACATGCAAATAGCTTGGTCTTCGTTACTCATGAATTTCAGCTTATTAAGAAAACATCCCAAGATTCTCACCCACCTGTTAAAAAGGAAGAAAAAAAAATCTTTTTTCACATATTTCCAAATAACTCTTTTTATTTAATGGAATTATTGGACAACCCAAACAGCCCTTAGTGAAAGATTCAGTAATTCATCCCTGAATTGACCACAATATTCTTTTTAAAGTTAGTACCATTATCTTATCTTAGAAAAGATATACAAGCAGGAAGCTAAGTCACATACTGAAATGATCAACAAGCACTTCTTTCATTTTTAGTATCTTGGGATTTGAAGAACCATGAGACACGGACTGCTGCATTAATTGTTTTGCCAGCCATATCGCTTCATTCCTATTCATGAATCTCGAAAAGGACCTGAGAGAAAGATTGCCACCTCATACAACTTAATAATGAAGTAACTGCTTATGCTACTACAATGAAAAAGAATTTATGCATACGAACCCTGAGCACAATCCAACACTAACTTTAATCAAAGACACGGCCATGAAGGTACAAGCCATGTCATTCCCTTAAATATTCACATCAGACCATAGCAAGACAAAAAAAGAAATGTGTAGAACATCGATGAAACTCCATTAGAATGAAGGTAGTTACCAAATAAATTGAGAACATGCTCATGTATACCTTATCCAATAAATCATATGATTTAAGACAAAATCTATGAGACAAAAAAGGAAAATATGAAGTGAATCCTATTTAAATTATACCTAATAGCTTTCCCATAAATCCAGAAATACCATCCTACAATATTCTCCTTGCTCAAGCAATTCTTCCTCAACTTCGAAAAAGATCCAAGAACAATAAAAGAGAACAAAACAAGGAACGAACCCACAGGTTTTGGTAGGGATTAGTACGCCCATTATGCGGGCTTGACTACACAAAGAACAAATAGGAGATGGGTTCACCTCAAATGGAGAGCAAGAGAGTGAAAAACCTGTTGTGGACCCAAGATAGAAAAATCTTGAGAGAGAGAGAGAGAGAGAATATGAAGAAAAGAGCAAAGGACAATAATGGTATTGTGGGTGTTTTGTGATAGTTGTTGGGATCAGGAGTGAGACCGGCAGAAAGATCGGGAATGGAGCTGAGGATTGTGAAAGACTAGAACATCCCTATGGTTGAAAGTAATGCATGCGCTCGGAATTGAGATCCCCAGATGTTAGGAATTGAGACCCAACCTTTTGGAGATCTTGATCCTGACCTTTTAGGATCTTGATCCCAACTTCATAAGGATCTTGTGTTGGTCTTTAAGGGCCATGAAAGCATGTATATAAGAACTAAAGTGGATTATATACTTCATTGGTATCAGTTGACTGACCTAGGGTTAGGCAGTCATTAGCTCTGGTCATGCCCAAAACCCTTACCTTTAAGCATATGGCACTACCGAAAAGGGTTTCTAAAGGGTCATCCTATGTTGAGGTCAGAAAGATGCCCAGGGATTGTTTGTAGGCCAGGAGAATTATGTGGTCTCATGTGTGCAGATGTAGGCCTGTGAGAACGAAGGTTAAGTCATCAACAAAATTTCGCACAACATGTACACATGACAACCGCATTACCGGGAAGCAACCCTGAAAAGGAATACATGTATAGGTGCATAGAGAAAGTCCTCCTTGCACTATAGTGATATATTCGTCTTACTTGCTCTTAAGGGGGGCAACCTGTAATCCATATTCTGAGAATATGTTCCACTATTTATTAGCCAACTTTGACGAGGCAATCATGAGCTCCTACATGAGACTGTAGGTCATGTGTCTCGTTGGATTAGTTTGAGAAGATAGTTGAGGATCACGGTTATTGGGTTAAGTGGAGTACCATAACAATCACTTTTTGTAACCCATTGGAGTTCCCTGTTAATCACTTTTGTGGCAGTTGTGTTGGGATTATGGCCTTTAAAGGCCTTATGAGAGCATGTAAAACTATGATTGTAGTGATGTGATAGCTCTAGTGGGAGCGTGGTCTGGATGGACTGTGTCGCATTGTCCTGAGTGGATTGTGAGGGATCGTTGATGTCATGACCCACCTAAGTCTTGACAGTCTATGTGATGCAGAGGGAAAGGTGGAAAATTGAATCCCCCCTTTTCCTGAACCTTAAGCAAGTAAAATCAGCAATAATAGAGAAAGAACATGACAAGCCAAGAGAAGAACTTTCTTGACTCACCCAAAAAAAGGACTTTCTTCTTTCATAAAAGAAAATTTATTCCAATAACATATGCCTTCCAAAATATGACATCCAACATTTTATAAACCTATGAAACATTAATTTAACTTGAGATCCAAGCAAACATTTAAGACTCTAAAATACTCCTAAAACAATACTATAGTTCTAAAAATACCCATGTGAACAGTAACTGCGAAGAGCCATGAATAGTATTTGTGAATAGTAAATAAAAAATAGAAACCCTAGAATCCCTAAAAAAACTAAAAAACCATAGAAATAAACCCTAAGACTAAAACTACAATATACATCCTTGAAACTAAATAAAAGTAAAATTTTTTTGCTCTCAAGCACTCTCCCATGATTGGAGAAAACTCGTCCTCGAGTTTTGAAGTGTTTAAGTGTTTAAGATGAACTCAACATCAAAACCACATTCTTCAACCTTCTTTTTCTTGATCGGCTTAAATATTATTCGAGGTTAAAAGAATTCCACAAGAAATAGATCTTCATATGCATATTGAGAAATCAATGCAAATTTATCAAATATGGATATCCTTGAACTCCCATTAAAATTGTGTGGGAAACTTCAAACTTAATTTTATGTTCTCTATAGGCTTTCTCCATATCTATTTCATTACTCTTTGAAACTAGGGCCACAATTTGCAGATTTTGAGTTGACCACACTTCCACTACGCTTCTTTGATTCCAATGCCCTAAATCTTGTAAATGCTCCACCTCATTGATATTCTTAAGATTTTCATCTTTTTCTTTGTTAATGATCAGTTCACCCACGAAATCTTGATCATCATAGATTGGATCTCGTACCAAATCTTGTTCGTCATCTAAGTATGTATCAAAAATTGGTGGCAGATCTCAATCTACAACTTGCTGATTTTCAATACGACTTACAAAAAAATCAACATCATTCTCCTTCAAATCATGTAGATAAACTAAATCCTATGATTTATTATGAAAAGTGGACCATGTGATTGAGCAAGTTAATATTGATTAAAAATTTTCTACCATTTTCTTTAGTATTGCTGCCCGAATCACTCACAATTGTCCAATACAATGTGTGAGACATATAAAACACCAAAGACTCTCACTTGCTTGCCATTAAAACAAAAAGACATTCACGATACAGATCTGGATAACAAAGATGCAATGGAATCAAAGAGCATAAAACAAGAGAATAACTTCATACCTTGCCTTAAGTCACCCCCAAGTACTTAGCACACCCCACACCGGGTCTCTTCCACCAATGGCACATGGGACCTAGGTCCAAGGACTTGTCTCACAAATTTGGGACGCCTAGGCAGAAACCCAGCAGAGAGCATAACATGGGATATGCTTGACCAAGGCTCAACAAAAGAGCATAAAGCCAAGGCCTGGAGCTAGGCTAGGCTTGGGCGTGCTACCCTTTAGGGTTTATTTTCTATCCTAAACCCTAAAGCTTTGAAAGAGAAGAAGAGAGAGATTTAAAGAGTAGCATTCCACTCCTTGAGGCTTAGAGAGAGAGAGAGATGTCAAGTCTAGAGAATGAGCCCCACCCATAGCTGTTTATATAAAATAAATGCTAGGGTTTCTAGGGTTAGGGTTTTGCCACCTTCGTTAGACTTAATCTTGACCTTTGATCTTGGAGACATGTGAGGCGAAAAGATCTCATCCATTCATCCTTTAGATCAGCCATCATAATTAAAGGAATGAGGTGGAATCATTATCCTCAGTTTTCATAACTCCATTCCCATCAAATTAAGAAAGTAATAAATCAATTACAATTAATTTCTTACACCTTCCAGTTTTAGAATTAATCAATATTAATTTCTTACACCTTCTAATTTTGAAATCAATTAAAATCTCTACAAAAAAAGTTTCCTAAAATATCAAGTCAACATATGGCATAATTGCCATCTTTCAATTTAGGAAAGTTTAAAGGAGGTCGGGCACACCACCCATTGGGTGCCCATGTAGGCCCCACACCCCATTTTATGGTGGGCCCAATGTACCCTAATGGGCCCTAAACACTTTAAACATAAGTTTCGATAATAAAATAGTTTTATAAAATCTCTAAATATTTTATTTTTCTTTCGATTAAAATAAATCCAAAAATTTGATTTTTCCTTAGTTAAAAATCATTTCTGAATAAAATTAAATACCTAGAGAGGTTTAAAAATTCATTCTAATTATCAAAAAAATAATTAGAACATATTTAAATATATCTAATAAGATTTGATGGGAATTGGATCCATAGAGTTAGGATTATGACAAATATACTGAGGGCTCCATCTTCTCTAAAGACCGTATCTCACTGCACCTTCTCAAACTATCCTAACAATTCCTATGACCCATAGCCACTCACAAGGGTTCATGATTGAACTATCAAAGTTAGCCAATAGAGTGAAGAAGATACGATTCTAGACTACGAATTACAGGTCCAACCCTGAAGACAAGTCTAAGCCCAATTTCAGTGATATGCTCCATGGGTCATTCCAACACAATTCAGTGTTCCAGGGAGTCATCTCTTCTCTACATGTACATGTAACACACTATTATCTAAGAGGGCCACTTCTTGAATGGTTATCTAGTGTAAATGCCCTGCGACAGTAATGATGATAATTTAGGCTCTTGTCCTCTCAGGTCATTTATCACACAAGGGGGTCAAATCCATGGCCCTTGACCAACTGTCCTAAGCACATTTCCGACATCAACAAGGGATAACCCCACATCGAAAACTCTTATCGGTTGTGTTCACACAGTGCTCAAGACTACGGGTTCTTAAACATTACACTGAGCCATAGCCAGTCAAAGCTTAGGTGTGTCCAGGTATCAAAAATGCCTCAATCCAAAAGTGGACCACACTCCCACTAGAGCCAATATATCATTATATAAATTCAGTACATGCTCTCATAAGGCCTTTAAACGGCCACATAACCCCAATATATTCTCCCGAACATGAGGCTCCTAACATGAAGGGTGTGCATAGAATGGGTGGTTGAATGCAACTTGATCTTTCCGCTTCAATTCTGAGTCAGACTCTGATTTGTGCCATTCTCCTTTAAAACCCTCACGATTTGGATCTATCGCCATAGATTCCTCTTCGTCTAGGGCACGTTGTTGCTGGCTCCGCTTCCGCAGCAGTAGCCACGTAACCCTCTCCGTCAAGTTGTTGATTTCCTTGTGCAATTGGATCAAATTAGCATTC